GGCATCCCTTGGAAATGTAGTGGCATCAGTATGCATGGAGTGTGGCCCACATGATGAAATTTGCTTTGGTAGAAGGGAGGTTCCTTAAGTTGTACAGAAAGCAGGAAAATAGTTGCCTTTCTCCTCATGTTTTTTCTAAGTTTTGCTTGCTGCTGTATTCATCATATGCTGCTCATCACCAACTGTGATTAGTAAAATGCAGGAAAAAAAGAAATCACTAAGCTGGAATCTTTTAAAGTATTATTTTAATTTCCAAAATCTCATTCCAAATTATACTTGGAAAATGTTGGCTGTGACAGGCATGTCTCCTCTTTCCCACATCCCAGTGAGCAAGCCAATGACACATCTGTTCAGAAGAAGTTTAGCTCTTATTAGTAGCATTGCTAGATCATCTCTGTCATTGCCAAGTCTTGTGCTGGTGCTAATGCATTGTCACTGTCTTAATACCCTGGAATTTGGCTATTAAAGTTCAACTGGTGGTGCTACCCCAGGTCCACTAACATGACAGGAATGCATATTTTAGAGCTGTTGTGTTTCACTACAGCCCCTGCACCTTTGAATGGCAGTCCAAAAATAATCCACTCACCAAAGGCCTCAGTTCTACCCAGCTCTAAGATTGTGTTCAGCTTTAAAGACTTGGAGGACATTCACTGGCCTTTCACTTGTCCAAAAGCCCCTTCACACCACCAAGTGCAAAGGAGGTATTGCATGCAGCCAAGGTCTGCCGGCTGAAGTACACACACAGGAGAAGAGTAGGCTGGACCACCACACCTATTACAGCTTTCCATGTGGATGCTTACAGCTTATAAGAAGATGAAAATACTTCATACATAATATTGTGGTCTGCTCATGGAATTTTTACACCTCTGATGAACTCTACAGCTTGTGCTAGAGATAATGATGATCCTTGCTGCAAGGCTCCATCCTGTATGCTAAGTAAAGTCCTGCCATTTTCTATCCTTCCTGCTGTTATTCTGATCCAATTAAAGTCATTGCAGCTAAGTGAAAAGTTGTGATTGACTAATTGGATTTGGGAGGGCAAAACACCCATCAGAAGCCAGGTTTAATTCAGGTTTCCTTAAAATTTCTAAGGCCACTGGCAGGCTAGAAGAAGCAGCTCCATCCTTGGTTGGCTCCAGCTCGGAAAAAAGAGATTAGTTAGTTGCGGAGTGAGCTCCCTGCTGCCTTGTGTCCATGGAGCTGACCAATTCCAAGGCCTGTGTTAGAGTCTTTCATTTTTTGGAATCCACCTTCTACAATGGTCCTTTACATATCTCTCCTTTAAGTCTCTTGTTCCCAGTTTGGTCCTGCACCATTCACCATCTCTTCTGCTTACTCCACACATCAGCGCACTTCCCTCCCCAGAAACACGCCTTCCCATGGTCTTGAGGGGTACTTCTGTGCAAGTCATGTACATGACTGGACTGCACTCCTGGATGTGGGACATGACTGAAATTTCTCTGAAGTCAAGTGGAAGTTTTACCAGTATAGTTGAAGAGGTTCAACACGTGGAAAGCTCTAAGCACTTCTCCAAACACCGAGTGGCCAGCTCCTTCCAAGTGCCCTGGATGTAGATCCCTGGGGTTCCAACCATGCAGTGAGATACATACAATAAAAGATCGGTTTCCATGAGCATTTAAAAGTGACCAGAAGCCTATCTGTGATATTTTCAACATAGTCATTAAAAAATGGTATGCCATATCTGCTAAAACCAGAAGTTTCACTGAAATTCATTAAAATAATTAATTACATCGTAGATTCTGAGTACCTTCTGAATGTTAAGCTTCTAATAAGTTCTCAAGCTATTTATTCTGATTTAATGCTCATCTTGGAACAGAAACATTGATAAGATAACAAACTGAATGGACCACTGATATTGTCATATCCTCACGTGATTCTAAGAGTTGCAGAAACTTCATAAAACATGTAATAAAAATAAAGAGTTACTAACACTACCACCCAAATACACAGTAAGGCACTGGATAAGAGCAGTAACAATCAAGAAATGTATCCTATCAAATGTTAACCACAATAAACAATATTTGAGGTGGACTCAAAAATTTTCAGTTTTGGGACACTTTCAAAATATTTTTATATTTTTTGGTTTGGCCCTTTTATTTTCCTTTCTTTCTTTTCTTTTTTTTTTTTTTAATATCATGTTTAATAATTTAGAAAATCTCATGTATTGCCAGTCTTGCACCCAAAACACAAGACTTACAAGATCACTGGGCATGTTAAGAAGCCTGTCTATTAATATTTGTAAACATTTTCAGCATCAAATACTTGGAAGAAGAAATCACTTGAGCCATCACCTGACATATTTCTGCTCCTATTGAAATAAAAGTGTTAAAGAGAAACAGTCAAAGAAACAAATCCCTTCACTTCTACCTGTTACTTTTTCTTCCTTTTTTTTTCTTTTTTGAGAAATCATTATTTTTACTTTAGTTGACAATGGCGGTGGAAATATACTCCCTTTTCCACTATTTCTAACCCCCTTGAGGATTTTTCGGGGCCTCTTTCAAGGGTTCAGCTGAACCCTTTTTTGCAAGCCTGGTCCCCCAAGAATGTTGCTACCAACAAAATTTTAACATCATCACTGTTTTTACAAAAATGCCTAACACATGATTCTTTCCTTATGGTCTTGTCAGTATAGGACCACAAGCCAGAAATTGCCAGGACACAAGTTCCCAGCTCCTCCAGATCTTGGCATTGACTGTCTTTCAGAATCTGGCCCCTGAGGCTTTGCAGTTGGCTCCTGAAAAGAAAAAGGGCCCCTCCTTAAAATCACAGTCCGTGCAAGTTTGTGTCTTCCATGAAAATTAACATGCTGGACAGCAGATGGGACAAACACATGCTAGAGGCCAGATCCTTATTCTGGTTACACCAGCATCATCTGCAAAGTTGAGGGAACAAGGGCAAACAACAGAACTAGAGCAATTTACATGAGCAGTAGGTCTGCCTTCCTGCTGGCTAACAGTAACAGTCTGGATTTTCAGGCAGGGGCATGGAGAGAAAGAGAGTGAGAAATTACTACCTTTATACAAAATTGCAGCCCACTACAAAGTTGTTCTAAAAGGACAGTGCTGTGACATTTCACATCTGATTCAGATGCTTTAAAAAAAAAACAAAGAACAACACACCACCACACCACTTTGCCAAGCAACAGGCTCCACAATTGCCTTTGGAGAGCCAAACAGCCTCCAGGAATACAAAGGTGACTTAATTTCCCCCTCTTTTTTCCCAGTGCCTCATTTACACCTCCTCAAAATACATACTTACGGCAAAAATAATGACAGTGCAGTCTGATGGAATATTCCAGCAGCATCCTGCAAAAGAGCAAAGCCCACGGTGTTCAGACAGTGCACAGAAGAATAAAAGTGCTTTGCATAAAAGTAATTCTTTCTTAGGAAGTCTTGACCTCTTTGATTGGAAGACCCAGATCCTGAACCAATTTTTTTCTCCCTGCCCAACTCTCCCCTTGATTCTTGGCCTCACTGATTTGAGGACACTCATTCCTTCTTACCATTTCTCTTTCATAACTTTTGTCTGGTAACCCTCTGGGCCAGAAGGACCATGCAACCTTGTGTTCTACCCAAGTCCTCCTTTTCTGATAAAGTTTTCACATATTCTTTGGGATACAAAGTCTTTGGTTCCTTCCACTCAAGTTACACGTAAACAGAATTTATTCCTTTGTGCTTTTCAACGGGAATTGGCACTTAACTTCCTAAGGGTGCTGTGAAAATTCCAACTGGACACTAGGCACAGCAGGGATTACCTGTCTAGATAGTCAGACCCGACAGACACTCGTGGATTTCTGAAAACAGTAAATTCAGAACAAGCATCTCCGCTTTTGGATCCTCCAGCAAGTATAGAACAAAGATTTCTGTGTTCCCAGGTCAAATATGTCTCCTTCATGGACAGGCTCTCTGGACACATCTGGCATGTTATCAGAATAATTTCCATTCAGTTTGATCTAATGTTCATCAAAGTCAATACTGACATTTCCTGGGTCATGCCAGAGGTCCAGTAATGCTCCATACCTTCCCATACATAATCTTTTAATTACCTCCCACTAATTACTTCTGCAGGGAGCTTTAAGATTTTCAGTCTGCAACACCTCTTCCTGATGGTCTCTGGATCAAGTCTTTGCCCAGGAGAAGGGGACTGGCCTGACTCATCTTATAGGAAGGGTTCTGCAGGCCCCTCTGACCCACAAGAGGCTCAACAGCAAGCAAAGGAAAAATATATTTATCATCACTTCTATTGATCAGGATCTATTTCCTGCAGGACTTTGAATCAGGAAACTCCAGTCACATCTCTGCGTACACACATGCATGTCTGTACGAATGTGCAAAAACAACTGACCCCAAAGGTCAAAGAGGACTGCCACTCCAAGATATAAAAAAGCTCTCAGCTCAACTTCAAGGAAAAGGCAAAAGAAAATGATCAGAGAGAGCAAGAAAGCAAGAGAGACAGAGATAAAGAGAAAAAACCAAGGGGAAGATGATTTTCTATCAACAAAACAGCAGGGACAAATTCTAGTTCATCTCATCGGAAACATCTCCTTCATGTGCAAACACCGCCTGGAGCCAGCACTAATCTCCCAGATTAAAGCCTTTTAATAGCAATTAGTCCTCTCTGCACTAACCCACTGGACACTCCAGTGCATATTTGGGAAAGGGGGGAGACTAGAGGGAGTGTCACCAACCGTTTAACTCATAAGTGCCCTGATGTGTCCGAATCCTTATCTTACACACACGTTTGTGCACAGGCCAGGATGCCATGGCAGTGAAACCTGTTTGGATTGCAGCAGAGAATGGGATCACAACAGCTAGATCTGGGTGTTGCATGTATACTCAGGTATACAGCTGGATCAAGTCCAGATCCAGGATGGAGAATTTCAAAATGGCACTATGGCAAGCCAGAAGCATTAGCCAGCTACAGTTAGAAGCACTGACATACCACCAGCTCCAAGGGCTATCCCAGCTGGCAACAAGACACAGCCACAGGCAACAAGATGTCCTTAGAGTTACCTTCATGCTACCAGCCTGTTGAAGCAGCCTTGGTACTGCTCTCCCTGAGACACCTTCCACCATCTCTGGAGAAAAGGAAGAGGAGAGATTTTTTAAATTGTTTTTGGTTGGTTCCTCTCTGCATGCCATCAAAGGTCTTGCGTTGATCTCTCTGTGAGTGTTTACAGGAAACACGAGCTGATGCCCCATCTGGGTCTGGCAGAGGGCCTCCACCTCCTGCACAGATTGCTACACCAAGAAAGGTAGATCATACAGAAAAGAACCTCAGATTGCACAACAGCCCCTATTAACAAACTGAGCAGCTTGGTTGAAATGGCTGAGAGGGGGAAGAGGAAAGTAGGGGACGCTGGTGCGAAACAGTAGTGTCTGTACAGAGACCCTGAACATCCCAAATGGCAAGCCAAGCAGAATTTTTTGGAAGGAGCCACATGAGCTGCCCTTCAAGCTATTAGACCACACAAATAGGACAGAAGAAAACCTTCCATGAGGTGACTGTAGGAAGGGGAGGAAAAACTATTCTGGGCAGCTTTCACCCTCTTCCTCCCCTCTTCCCAGCAGTGGGAGCTGCCAGAACCCCTGCACAACCCTGTGGCACCCCCCACTCTCTAACACACACACACACACACACACACACACACACACATACACACACCATCCATAGGGGTAGTGCAATTACTATTCAGGCTGGGGGCTGAAGATAGTCTCCTGGCCCTTCTTCTAATGTAAGGTTATTGTAATTGATATGAAGGTAATTGATAATGTGTTACGGTGAATAATGTCTTCAATTTTCTGCTAAATCCCATTTTTGTAGCCATCTGGGCTCCTCCAACTGCCCCCCTGGGACGCAGAGTAATAGATAGTAATTATTCTCAAGTCATTTACTTTTTCAAAGTGTTTAGTGCTTATCTGTTTTACAATTAAAATGGAAACGACCCTGATTCACTTCCTTTCTTTTTTATTTAAATAGCATTCAGACACACACACACTCTCTCCTACACGCCCTGGAGCCTGGAGGGTGTGTGCCTGTATGTGCAAGTGCATGTGTGCGTGCATATTATTGTCACAGAGAAACACGCAGGGCAGAGGTATGTAGTTCCTCATGCACCTTCACTTTGAGGCACTGTGAGAGCACAATCACACAACACTAAGAAATACAAATTGTGTTCCTTTCCCCCCTGCCCCCCTCCCGCTTGTCCCCATGGTGACGAGCAGAGTGAATGCCTCAAAACACCCCACAGAAACACCCCTAGGGAGGGATGCATCCAGCACACAACAATACACACCTCAGCACATCCCAGAAACACGACACTACCCCAATACTGGTAATCTGTATAAAGATAAACCTTCAAGCTTTAACAACACGGACACAGTTATACCTAGAAGAATACAGCTAATCATATAAATGTGGAGACCCCTATTAATATACAGCAGTATATGCCAGAATGTACATGTAAATAAACTAATGCAAGCTATTAAAAGCACCACTAATGAAAAACATACTTTGCACAGCAGCTAAACCTATTTCAGTATATGATCCAAACCTCCCCAGTGTTAGCCCCTTTGAGTTCCGTCTCAGCTTGTGGTATGCTAGGTGAGACATAAACAAACATATCTACCATATTCATGGGGATCCACTGTGCTAGAATTAAGGATTTCTGCAACAGTTGTAGCCTAAGCCTTGGTAACCAAAGCACAGGAACATCTGCAGCTACAAACTGCCTCAGCGAAACACTAGCAAGGAGGGCTAATAGGAAAATGGTCCAGGAGCTTTCCTGGGGCCAATACTTGGGTGAGAAAATCCAACTCATTTGAAGCATGCAGAAATAAACCCGGGGGAAACGCTGCGGTTTCTGTGATGGTTTGAGGAGGAACCTGAACCAGTGACTGTGTCAGACCCAGGCAAGTGTGTGGCCCGTAGGGCTTCAGAATGAGATTCTTCAAGTAATCTTCAGATGCTCTCCCATCACCATCTCTGTCCCCAGCCTGCAGGCCACTCTTACTGCAGCAAAAATTATCTCACTGCTATCTTAAAGTTTCTGTCTTTGTCACAGAGTCCTAACACGACATGTTCAGGCAGGTACAGACGGGTGTTGAAGCAGAAGCTGAGGAAAGTGGAGATGGTGAGGATTTTGGGACAGCCCTCCATAGTGTTTTACAGGCTCTAGGCTTCAAGCACTCATCCAGAACTCAAATATCAAACCTTTTAAAGATGACTGGCCATGTTCAGTCATAATTCAGAACACGTGAGTGGCTGGCATCCAAAAAAGCCCAGACTTCTGTATCTCAATACAGACTCAAAATTTAGGCAACTATTTTGGGAAAACCTTTATAGTACTGTATTTGGATTATAAACCAGATCTTTCCAGATCAGACACAACTGTGTAACCTTGGAGCTCAAATCCTCCCTGGAGACAGGACAGGAGGAACCAGGTGCTCCATCCCATTCTTTTGCTCCCCAGCTAGAACAGTTGCGAACAGAGGCTGATGCTTCCCCCCAGCAAAATGGAGGAGAGACACTGCCCCCCAGGATGGTACCTTGCACACTATTCCCTCTCCAAAAGCCAAGATACCGAACCATTGCCAATTTCAGCAGATGGATGATTCAACCTTGTGTAATTAATTTAATTCTGTAGATATATATTTTTTCCCATCTGAACAATCAGATGACAGCTTCCACAACCAGCCCCACAACCCATATCACCACTGCCCCAGCAGACATACAGCCAAGGCTTTCCTCCATTCTCCCAGTAAATCTCTGGAGTGCTGCTGTCCTTTGCCGTCAAGGTAAGAGTGGCCCAGACCTTTGAGCAGGAAGATCCTGTTGTTCTTTTGTTTGAGTTTATAACTGTTTGGGGCTGTTTAGTTGGGTTTTTTCCCCCGTCTTCCGTCTCTTTCTGTTTCCTTTTTAATTCTTTTTAATGACTTTCCCCGATGCAATCGGCAGAGGACCACGCAGAGACTGCTTCCCCCTGCTGAGAGGGAAACAAGAGTGAGGGAAAAGGGCACCAAGGGAACTGTTCACATTCTCTATTCATCTCTGCCAGCCTCTGTTCCCTGGTGACTAGCCCCACACAGCCCAGCTGTGTGGAGTTAGCACGGAATGAAGCAGAACCTGAGCCAGGAAAATCTCAGCCGGCACCACGGGATTTGGCTCTGTCAGCCTTGTCAAAGGCTGTCCTAGGTGTCCTAGCCATGAGAGTGGCCCATATGGTCCTACCACAAGGGCAGCAGTGTGGGTTGAGGAGGGGAAAAATATGTTGTTTTCCATGAGTCCAGCAGAAGTCCCCCTGACAGGGAGAGTGGCTGGAGACCACAGCTCAGCTACTAGGGAACACACATGAGCGCAGCAGCTTGGGAAACCTGCTGCTGGGAAGCCAATGAGCGTGGAAGAAGCAAGCTTAAGACTCCTGCAGTACTCACAAACTCTCTAGTCCAGGCACTCCCAAGTGATGCCATCTTTTGTTCCAGCAGCTCCCCCAGCTCCAACGTGGGAATGAGCTTGGTAGAAGCCAGATGGCTCTTCCTCTGTCTGCTCCCTGGCACTTGGCTGCATATGCATCAGGGAGCAGGGTGACTATCTGGGCAGGCAGGACTGCAAGGTGGAAGCACTTTTCAAGGAAGCAAAGTTTGCTCCAGCTGGTTGCATTTGGTGAGGACCAATGCCCTCTCCCACAGGCAATGGGAGGCAATCCACAGGCAATGCCCTCTCCATCTCAGCCTGCTGCAGGGAGCACCTCACCTTGGCAAACAGCCTCTGCCCTGCCCTGGGACAGCTCTGGAAAAGCTGCTGCCGCCATAGCAGGCTCTTCTGATTGCCAGGCTGCTGTTAACGAGCCATGCATGTTCCAGGGTTGCAGGGAGAAGGGGAGAGCTCTGAGCTGCCAATGGCCTGGCCTGGAACACAGGAGCTGGTGACTGGTGAAAGAATCATGGGCTTACTGTACCGCAGCTCCGCAGGGGACACCTGTCCCAAACGATCCCTCCCCTAGGAGGAGCCTGTTTAATCCTTAGTTTTTCCAGAACCAGAGGAACTGTGATCTCTGTTGCACGATATAACAGTTGTTTGATAATCAGTTGTCTTCCAAACAGGAAATTTCAAAGCATTTTGTACCCAACAGCTTGCTAGCGTTGCTTTCTGTTGGGGGAATACATAGCATGTGCTCTATGTTTTCATTGATTCTGGAGGTTTTCCATGAGGGAAAAGGAAAAACCTCAAACTACAAATTCCTTTGAAGTTCCCACTGATCTGTCAGCTTTCAAGCAGATGAAAAGGATGCAGAAAAAGCAGTGGGAAAAAAAGGCAATGCAATGACCCAGTTACATTCCTGTTGAGATAGATGTATGCAGACCATCCTTGGCTGAGGTATATTCTGAAGCACCTTCAGCCAAGATTCCAGCATCTGTGTGGTGATCTCTGCTGGTGCTTCTATTCTCCATCAGTTAGCAAGGGCTTTTACTACATCACCTCCCTCCATTCTAGGGATACTTGTTTCTTTCTGCTTGTTAGCAGGCAGGCAGAGAAAATGGTTGTTTACCTGCTTCTTGATATCATTCACTTATACCCTGGGAAACTGAGCTTTTTACACGCATAGTCTTCTCGTCCACTTTCACATAAAACAATTCCTTAACCTTTTCTCACAGGCCTTGTTTTTCCGCCCTATGGCAGCCTTCAGCACTATATAAGACTCCATTGCACTATGCCAGAGAACTGCTGGGACCTCTTGTGTCTCAGCAATGACCTTAGCATTGATAAAATGCAGACCCTAACATTTTCTTACTGCAAGAGTGCAACATTAGTGACTCCCACACAGTTTAAGCTCTACCCTCCCCCCTAGACAATGCACTAGTTCCCCCATTCCTTAATCAGATGTAAACTGAGCCTTTGCATCTACTGAGTTAACTAAGTTTAGTTTATTTCTCCAGCATATCAAGCTATTTTGAGTTACAACCCTGTCCTCCAAAGGATTTGCAACCTTCTTCGAATTTGCTACTCTCTGGTTGGTTTTCATTTTATTATTGAAATCTCTAAAATATTGATCAGAAGTTGGTCCAGGCCAATGCCCTACAAAACCTCCTCCCTTTTCAAGGAATAATTGCATCGCAGTTTAGGGCCATGTTGTGTCCAGACACAGTAACAAGCACAAGTGGGAACCTCTTCCAAGTTGGCGCCTGATCCAACCACACCCTGAATGAGTGCAAACGAGGTATTATAAAGGAGCAGGGGCTGGAAGTCAGCTCTGAAAAATCAAAATAGAGGTTCAGCCAAGAGTGACTGATAGTTGGAAACTAGTCTTCAGCTCAAGCTGTGGTAAAAATCTAAGGAAATCCCAGGACTACAGTTCCAGATGAAACACTTGTTGACAGTCATTCTCTTTCTGACCTAATGGGCTGGAAGAGAGGAACAGAGAGAATCTGAAACCCTCAGCAGATTGTTTCCAGGTCTTGCTTTTCTCTTGCAATACACAGTATATGTGGATGCCAAGCAGCAGCAGGGGAGAATCAGAGGGGTTAGATGATGTGCTTTCCTTCTGCTCTGCTATCCTATAGCAAGTCATCCTGGTGAAGAAAATCAAGAATGAAAAGATCTGATAAAAGAAGACAGAATAGAAAAGGAATATAGCAAAAACTGAAACTTCTTGAAATATTCTTGACTGAAAGTGTTTCTAACACAAGAATAAGACAGTGGCTTTATCAGAAGCTTTCTTCACAATATCTTAGTTAAGAAAACACATTTTTCATTTTTAAAAGTTTTGGAAAGTTTGGAGGAATCCTCCATAAAAGCGATTCGGGAACTGACAGATGTACAGCAAGGAACTATCTTGAAAAAAAATTCAAGTGTGGAAGCCCCTCTGCGAGGATACTTAAACCATTGGGTTGAAATAGCAGCACCACAACAAAGCATAGAAGGGTATTTACAAGTGACTCTTTTTTCTGCTCACTGCAATATATTTATCAGTCAGTCTTCCCCTTGATATGTGATGCAATCTCCAGGTCTCCTGCAGGAGTTTCAGTGTTGTGGACTGACAGACTGTTCTAGGTGCAAAGCCAAAACAATTACATCCAGGTAGACGCTGCACAAACTCAGAGTTGCACAACCCCATGGGCCTGTCCAAAGGGAACAGAGACAATGGCAGTACAAATGCTCCTTGAACAAAGCAGCAGGGAGATTTGGCAGATACCCGGGCAGTGATATGCTGATTGTTAGCCAGAGCGTCCAGGAGCCTAACTGGTCTGTGCAGTACAGCAAGAACCACTCACAGCCACAGGGGAATTTTTTGAGCCTTTTGAGCAAGGCTCTTAATCATCACTGTTGCTCTCAGTGCCCATGAGCAGAAAATAACACCAAAACTTAAATGTTCTCAACACTGCACCATGGGACAGCCCCAAACAGGACTGCTGCAGATTGCTACACAGCAAACTGCCAGTTCCAGACACTCCAGGCCCATCCTACGCAAAATCATCCCACACCTTTGCTCTCCTTTACATTGGGGAACTCCTCTAGTGAGCGACTCCTAGTTTCAGTATGTCACAGACCACAAGGCAGAACCAAGGTCAAGCCTAGAAGTCAGTGCATACATTGGCATCTGGATTAACAAGACCCATAGTGCCTGATCAGCTGATAGCCATTCCTCCAACATTACACAGTCAGAGGCTGAGGGCCCATGGACAAACTTAATGTCATTCCACCCAGGACATCCCCTTCCCATGTTCCTTGACATATAGGTCTTCTAGGAAGGTACCTTCGTGATGGAGGGATGGCAAATAGCATGAACACAGTCTCTATTGTCACTTGTTAAGACCAATGAATTCCTCAGAGCTATGTCTGGCCCTGAAGTCTGATTCCAGCTCTCTCCTTCGTGAGCCTAATGAAGCCCATATTAATCCTGAGAGCACATCCCAGCATGCAGATAAAGGCCACACCTTCAGCCCAGCGTCACTCGGTGGAACAGGGCAGGAGTTGGGGCACTGCACTGAGGTCACCTGAGGTTAGGCAGGAACTGAGACAGACCAGGCCCCCTGACCCTGCTGAAGTCTGCACATGTCTCTGCTCTCCTTCTCCAAGCAAGACAGCAGCCCAGAGGTCAAGGTGCTCTCTCTCAATCCTTTTTCCCCCGATCTCCATCCTCCTCACACCCTGCATGACATCCAACACACCAGCCCTGCACGAGCCAGCTCCAGCAGCCGGTGGATACCTCTGCTGTCCCGCTGCCCTCCCTGGCTCTCCTGCTGCCTGCAGCCAGGAAAGCCCACTCCAGCCTGCCCGGGGTGGGCGAGCAGGCTGAGGCAGGTCATGTATCACCCGGGGCGGGGGCCGAGGCGCGTCCCCTCAAGATGACTTCAGTTGCATTCCAGTGAGCCTGGCAACCTCCCGCACACACAAATAAAAGGAAATGAGAAACTTGGCAACAAAGAAACTGGCAGGGAAGCCACAGAGGCACAGAGGAACGGGAAAAGAGATTAAACACAGGCTCAAGAGCCCCAGCGTGCTGAGCCTTCCTCTCTAAAGCCTCCCTTTAACTTCGATGGGGGGGCACAGGAGTCTTCTTTGCACTTGAAAGGGCAAGAGGAGGGGCTGGATAAAAGGGATCCAGCATTATCCGGAATTGAGAGCACAAGAACACGCTACAAAGCTTTAAAAAAAGTGCAGGCACCCAGCTTCTCTATATACTTTCCTTGGTGGAAATCAGGAACTGGGATCTGAATCTGGCCAGAGAAGAGATCAAAGTGGAGACATTACAGAAGGAAGTTTAATAATGCAAAGTAATCTGATGAATTCTCTTCCCAAGTTCCAGCTTAGTTTTTTTTTTTAGAAATAAGATAACATATTTGAGGCCCTGCAGTTTATAATGGCAGACACTAATTTGTATTGATACTATATGCTATCTAAGAGTCCGTCCCAATATATTAGACCACTGGTGTTTCTCTGTGTTAGGATAACTCATAAATGTGCTGTGGTGCTTAGAATTTTTGGCTGGCAGTGGAACTATTTAAATCAATCCATTGCAATACTGAGACAGAATTCACCTGCAGTGTATACTGCAGAATCTACAGTACACTCTAAGGTCTGTGGTAAGATCCATTCAGAAGCCTGTGCTTTGTAAATCACAAGCTGTGTGATTTCCTGTACAGCGTATGTATGTTGTGGAGCTGACTGATCATAGATGTAATATCTACCTTGCTCTTTATGTATCATTAAACATCAGGCACTCAGCCTGATCAGGGGAAGAAGACAACTCTTTCTTATCAAGGGGAGAGATTGTTTCAGAAACTAAATGGGAAACACCCACAAAGCCCGTTCTCTCTGGATGACAAAGGACACACTCTCTATGCAGTCGTGGCAGTGAAAGGCAATAGGCAAAGTGTTTGCACCAAGCCTGAGAAGAGCCCAAAGCAATTGCTCTTCCAGAGCTAAACTCTGATTCCTTGGATGAGCTAGTTTCCTCTTCTGAAACACACAGGGATGTTAAAGGATTATTAGTAGAGAACCAACTCACTCCTTCCAGACACACACATATTACACACTTGGAAGATGATCTTTCTTATTATTCCTTAAAGAATCATAGCAGGTAGCAAACAAAATGTCAAGGGGATCCATGGGACTCAGAAGACCTGAATGATCAGACTGTATAAACTACCTGTGAGAGCATAGGCCTATGTCATAGGACTGTGAGAGCTACCTTGGAGGATCTTCTCCCAAATACACATCATCACATGAGCACTATCTCCCACTGATGCAAAGTGCCACAGCAGTCTAGCATCACAGATATCTGACTGAGCATCCACATATCATGAAGCACCTTAGTACATGGACTGGGACAGCAGTGAAGAAATGGATTAGGATTGGGACAGTAAGCTCCACTGAGACTTGAATGCAGCAGATCTAGTGGATATCTCCTCTGTAATCTGGCTCTGCGAATCAGAACCAGTGCCAAAAAGTGGGATCCCAGTCTACAGGGAAAAAACCCACAACCTGACATACTTACCTGGTGATACGGTGAACCATGGTGACTACAAAATTTTAAGTGCCTGGCCATTCTGCACAAAGGAATATAAGGCTGGTCAAATATTCATGTGTCCTCTTCAAAAGGGGGATAACAGGTTTCTGTTCACACTCCATATAACAATTGGTTCATACAGCATGTCAGAGGTGCCACTCTCTCCAAGGTTCTGAGGTCTATACCCAAGCTTCTTTTGCTGAAAAGAAGGGGAAAAGAACAGAGAAGCAATTTTTTCTGTGGGATCTGCAGCATTCAACATCAGATGAGAAATTTTCCTTCATGAGTTCATTCACAAGAAGACCTGTGATCCTTTTGGTTCCTTTACATCCCTAAACTCAGATGGAGAGAGGATTTCCAAGTCAAAGGGATGGGTTCCTGGCTGTATAAACAC